TGACTGGATTTGGCAATATTTCTCATTACTTTGAAGATGAATCCCCTAGCTGAAATGCCTAATGGCCTGGTGCGTTGGGTAATTTGTCAAGAGCTGATGTGGGAAAAGGCATCTTTCATTTGCTAAAAAAGACTACACCAAGTGATCTGTGATTATCGTTGTAATGCCTAGACATTTGTATCTGTCATCGTAGGGCCTCTGACCCACGCGCATAATTCATATTTCATCACTTGTTCCATTTATTCCACTAATTTATCGAGCTTGTTTCCATTTGTTTCTGTTTTTTTACATTACATTTTCGTAGATATATCTGCCTTTCCTTCAGAGATGATTGTACTTAAATCTCTACAAGTTCGACCTTCGTGACAAAAAAAAAACAAGAAAAACAAAATAATAATAATAATATTCGACTGTGCACCCTTCGGAAGGCATTGAAAGGTTTCGCCTTGGGAATGCATTCGAGACGGGAAATGATTTCAAGTTTATTTTGTCATTAACCATAAACATTGTATTTGTTTTTGTTTATATTTTTTTCTGACGTTTTTCTGGGAATTTTTTACAGGCCCAAGGCAAGATACACCTAAAACCGGTTCTATAAATTAAATTTTTTATTATTCTAGTCTTTTAAAAACAATTTAAACTTTACTTTTAAATATATATATATTTAAACCTTAATTGGTTAAAAAAAAAAATGTATCTACATAAAAAAAAACGGAAACGTAACCAAAAGATAAAAATATTTTACTTGCCACAGATTTCAAGAATTTGCTTAGAATTCCCAAAAGGTTCTAGCAATAAAAAGATTTATGATACATTTTTTAAATAAAATTAAAAAAAAGGTAAAAATATATATAAAATTTTAATTAATTTAATTTCGAATCACTTACAACAAAAACTCATAAATAATAAATACCGGAAAAATGTTCACAAAAATTCCTCTATAAACTAAAGTTTCTTTTTGTTAGCTTTCGATATCAGTTTCCTATTTGTTGTGTGCCTTGTGTCTATTTGTTAGCCACTCACAATTAGTCGGCACTTGTTGTGAAAAATAAATAATAATAAAAAACAGAAAAAAACAGTCAAAAACCAACAAAGAAAACTCCACAAAAACCCCTAATCACGTTTATTAAATATCTCAACTACATGAATCATAACGCTTTTGGCTTTCATACATATACATATTTGTTGTTTCATTTTTGAACAAATTTTCCATAGATTCCGAATGGCGGAAGTAGGAAATTGCAGCTTGGAAAACGCTGCCAAAATTCGAAACCACATGACAATTATTAATGGCTTTGAGCTGGCTTTTTATATGGAGCATGCCGAATGCAAAATCAAGTTTTAAAGCCAAGGAAAAAAAATATCATAAAAATATAAACACAAAATACAAAACAAAACCAACCGCCGCAGTGGGTCATTGATAAACCCATTCGAATGGCAAAGAGCAGGCCATTGACAATAAGTCAAAGTTAAATGCTCAGATCAGGCCAGGCCAAGATATATGTACATACATAGTTGTAGTAGTAATTGTCAGTTTGAATCAAAAATTGAATAACTTGTTTCTTCTTTTGTAAATTAAATACTATTTCCCGAGGGATAGCGAAGAAAACCAATAACTTTAAGGCCTAGCAAGATGGAAACCCTCATTCAGAAGACGGTTAAACAGTATTTCACGCCTGAGATACCCCCGATCACCTTGCTAAGCTGTTACTTTATTCTCGTTTTTCTCGTCGTGGGTGGACTTTTCCTCTATTTCACCGATCCCAATCGGGACATTAATACGACGATCAAGCGAAGATTTCTAGGCCTTGCCATGGTGATGCTCGTTCCTGCCTTCCTGATCATTTCATGGGACTATGGGAAGAGGTGCCGATAACCTATGCCCTCACCTCGACCGTATTACTACCGTTACCCATGCTGGTAAATCTGCGAAATGCCTTGGTTATCTGAAGAAGTAGAGTATTCTATAGCCAGAGAGTAAATAAATTAATTGTATCTATGGAAAATTGCCATAATAATGTTTAGAAATACTAATTCTTCTTTACAAATTTGTTGGGTTTATAATCAAGTATACAAGGTCGTTGTGGGGTTTCCTTTTTTCATGAATAATGGGTCTTCTCTGTGCTTGCACTAGTTGCATTTGGTATTGTGGGATTTATTCTGGCTTTTTTTTGAAGTGGAGCAAGCTCAGTCGGTAAACTATTGTGGGAAAATTATGATTGTTTGGCTGCAAATAAGCATATATGTATGTGCATCTGGAGAAACCGAGATGTGACCGAAAGTAGTGCCTTGGGCCAGGGAAAGGCGGCAGTGGAAAATCATACAAAGTAAAGTGTGTCTTTGGGGTAAGGAAAAGAAAATGATGCATTTACATTTTGAAAGGAAACTATGTTAATTATAACAAGTCTCATCTAAAGGTGGTAATTTAAATAAGGTATATTTTATAAATATAATATATAAATACACATATTAATAGGTGTATTTAAAATGTATTTAAAATTTAGAACTAAGGCCCAAAAATGTTATACAATTTTTTAGCTGAATATTAAGATTCTCTTTAATATAAATAAATATACGAAATAAAATAAATATATAAAAAAATATATTTAGAAAGTATTTCAGATTATATTGAAATAGAAACATATTTAAAAAATAATTTAGATGTAATTAAATTGTATTTACACAATTTTTCAGGTTAAATTTAAGTAGAAAAATATCTAGGAAATATTTTAGATTAAATTTAAATGGAATATATTCAGAATTAATAAAGATTAAATTAAAATATATATTTTTTATAGATGTATTTCACATAAAATTTAAATTAAAATTTATTTGAGATGCATTTTAAAATAAATTCACAGGAAAATATATTTAAGAAGCATCACAAATAAAATGCAAATTCCAATATATTTATCTAATAAGTATCTCAGATTTAATTTCCATATTTTCAAATAAATTATAATAAAAATATATTTAAAAAGTTTTCGGGCTAAAAAAATAAAAAAGAATCCATCAAAGAACCATTTTAGTTTAAATTCAAATGGAAATAAATTCATGATTCATCAACGTGGGTCCAACTTTTCAGTTTCTCGTAAGTATATTTGTGGCATACTTAATGTTGACTTTAGTGTTTGTCCAAAATCTTCAAAGTAAAACACAGACAAGTCCAGTTAATGCTGTGAACCTTGTGCCTTAATTAAGCTTTAATGCCGGCCACTTTCGGTTTCGGTTTTCTCAGTCCAAAAAATAAAACAAAAACCTAACGAAGGCGTCAGTGTCTGTCTCTTTTTTATTTACGTTTTCTGTGTGCCTTTTTTTGGGTGTGTTTCACTTTTGTTTTCATTAAATAGCTAAGATTTCAATGTTGTTGTTGTTACTGCGACAATTGAAAGTGTTGTCAATTTTTGCGACTCGCCGACAACGACGACTTTTCACTTTCCCGAAAAATAAACAAAAAGCACCTCGCCGGCGTCCAGTTTTGGGTTCAGATTTCCGTCATGATTGTCATGCGACATTAATCTCTGTCTCGTTGCTGGACTTGTATCGTTATTACGATTATTATTTCGCATTGTTTTCTGTTTTTTCTGCTCTTTTTTTCTGTGTTTCTTTATGATATAGTACCCAGTTTGGCGGTCAGTCGTTGGACAGCTATGGCGAACCAGTTGACCCCCAACGAACGGGACAGGACCGTCTTATGATGGGATTTTCGCCGCGGCGACGTTTTCATTTTCATTTTGCCAAACGAGTTTGAAACTCTGAAAATTAACAGAAAAAACCTGAACCTTTTGGATCGTTTAATGCCACCAAAAAAAAAGGCTTCAGGGGTGCGCTAAATTAATGGCTAAAAATCGGTTACTATATGGGTGGGCTGTACTGGAGTTGAGAAATTTACAACACTAAATTCCTTACAAAATATCAAAATAAAAATGTAAAAATAGAAATATATTGAAAATATATTTAGTTATAAAAATACCAATTAAAAAAATTATAAAAGTTAATCTTATAAAATTATATAATCAATTAACAATAACTAGAAATAAATAGCCAAGTTGGGGATAACAGGGAATAAGAACAATAATTAGAAAGTAAAGATATCGATACTATATCGATATTTAAGCCAAAGTTCGATACATAAATTGATTCTTTAATGTTGCAATAATTGATCTCCTATTTGATAAATGTATAGTAACTATACCAGAGAAGAAAAAACAGAAAAACAGTTTTAAAAATATATTTTAAAGTAGTATAAATAAGTAGTATACAATTCTGTTTCATAATTTTATTTCAAATCATTTAAACATTGAATTTATGTTTTACGATATTTAAAAATATTTTAAAAATATATTTATTAGATATTTAATAATATTTTGCTAAGCTACGCCTTGTAAATAAAATAAAATTAAGCTTAAAATGAATCCAATTTATAAGAAAATCATCAGCTCTCCTCTCCTATATCCTCTCTCACCCTCTGTCTCTCTTTACAAATAAACCGATTGCATAAATCTCAAAACAAACAAAAAGGAGACCAGAACCAAACGAGTCCAATGTCCAATCCTCATCCCCAAGCTTAACCCCACTTTATCACTTTCATTTCCCATTTCCAGGCAATGTTTTTCCTCCCCCCTCCCCGTTTTGTTTTTGCTTTGAAACTTATAAAAAATCATTTATTTTTATATGGCACATAAATATATATAATTAATTGCACAATTGCTCATAATATTCAATTTCTGAATTTCGAATTGGCAAATAAATTTAACAGGCTTTATGACAGGACGCATTTGTTATGCGGTTTATTTTTTATTTTTAATTTGTTGTTACTTGTTGTTGTTTTTGGAAGACGCCGCTGGCATCGAAAACCAAAAATTATTGCAAATGAAAAACAGATTTTTGTGGCCTGCCCATATATTATTTTTTCGGGATTTTTTGTTTTCCCCCCCCCTCTTTTATGCTGTTGTTTTTATTGGTTTTTAGCGTTCATCATTAGAAAGTGAATTACTCACGTGTGCGTGTTTGTGTATGTGTGTGTTGCTGTTTTTGCACTGGCGCAGCTCTTATTGGCGTTGTTGTTGTTCTCTCCGATCAGCATCGCCTTTCTCTTAACGAGAGAGCGAGACACCGACACCGACCAGCCTCGCCAGAAATGTTGAAAAAATCGCAGCTCAAATCGATTTGGTGCGGCTTGAAGCAACGCCAACGACTTTGAAAACACTGAACAAAGTTTATGTATATTCCACATTCTATATAAAACCACATTTCACTACGTAAATACGCGGACTCCGACACGGACGCCTGAAAATTTTCACAATTTAAGCCGGTGTGACCGCAGTTGCATTGCCAAAAAATCCTATTTTTGCAGTGCACAAAGAGAAACACGAAAAAAAGAGGAGCCAAGAAACACCAAGAGAGTGAGAGAGAGGGGCTGGTGGGGAAGAGGGTGGCAGGCGGAGGAGAGAGAGTCGTTGGCGGCGAGACACTGGCTTTGGCCAGCGGCAACGGTAGCAGTGGACAATTTATGAGAAGCACCTGAGCACGTACCTGTCCTGGTGCCTGCGAGCATTTTTATGGCCAATACCTTTTGGTTTTTGCTCCTTCCCGGGGCCTCCAAAATAAATTAAATGCAAATTAACAATCAATTGTCGGCGCAAAACATAAATAAAAAGTGAAAAGGAGGCGACTGGATGGTGTTGTTGTTGTTAGTGGAAAGGAGTTCAACGCCATGGGTGGCGGGGCTTTATGGATAATATTATAAACTTAAAATATACTTATGTTTTTGTATAAAACTTTGGATATTGAAACAATTATCATTTTCTTTGTTTTTATATCCTTCTTCCTTGAGCTTTTCGTGACAATGCAATTGCGGTCACACCGTAACACTTTTTTAGTCCTTGCGCATTCTTGCTTCCCATGCGTTCGTGAATCCTATTGCGCATTCTTGCTTTCCATGTCATTCGTAAATAGGGTTGTCTCGCTTGCTCTTGGGTAAAATCCTATGTTGCTATGAAACCTTGTTAAATGCGAAGTTATTAACACTTTTCTAGTCCTTTTTAAGAGGTATAAAGCATAATTTCTTATAATATTATAAACAATAGTTGAGGAATGATCTCAAGAAAAGAATAGATACATTAATAGACATATTCCTAGCTGACTTTTCCCCAAATCGCACAATCTTTCTGCCTAGTTTTCGTTAAAGTTAGTACAGTGTACTAACTGCCTGTACAGTGATCACCCCACAAACTGGTTGGGGTGGTTGGGGGGTTTTCTTTTTCGTTATCATTTGGATGAGTTATAGGTGAAAATTGTCGCGAAAGTCGTGAGTTATGAATTGGCCAAAGCTGCCACTGACACTGGCTCTGCTGCGTGTGTGTGTGCAAGTGTTTGGGGGCAAGTTGGCGAAGAAACCCGTGCCGTGAAGGTCAAGAAACTTGAAATGGCCGCGACTCACAACGCTCAATGCTGTTCGGCATTTGCTGGCATTTAATTAATTAAAGTAAATCACATTTTGGCCTGCACACAGCGCCGCGGCGGCGCACTGGCAGACATCATTAATCATTGAGAAATTAGCGCACATTTCCGTTCACCTTCAATAAATTAGATTCGTTATGAAAGCAAACAGAAAAACAAAAACAGAAACTGAAACTGAAACAGACACTGAAAGCCCTTAAAAAACCCAAGCAGAAAATTTAAAAGATTCATCATAGGAGGCCAAGGGGAAGGGAGGGGGTCATGCTTCGAAGAAATTTCCATATAAGGAAATTCTATATGGAAGAATTGTAGATGAAAAACCCCAACAACAAAAGCCACATTCTGAGATCTGGTAACCCTGGTTGTAATCGATAAATAAAGCTAAAGTAACCCTAAAAGCAGGACCCTTTTAAGGGTCACAGCAGAAAATATTGGTAAAAATATCGACAATAGGAAAAATAATAAATATTAGATAAATATTTTGTTTAAATGTTTTTGTATAATTTATTTATATATTTATATTACTATTTATATTTTTCTATTAGTTATTAAATAAATTTTATTTATACCATTTTTGATTGCTATTTTCTATTTTCCTTTGCATTTTATTATCTTTACATAACCCCAAACTGGCTTCATGTTTTGAATAGTTGCTAAAACCCGTGATTTGTGTCTGATAATGTTGTACACCTGTTGAACAAAACAGGTGCTGATCGTTTATATGATGAATTTGCATATGTTGTCCAGCTGCAGGCAGCTAAATGTGCAACATGCGGTGTTATTTCACAAAAAGCAACAAAAATGCGAAAATGCTGAGCATATTTTCATCGATTAAACATCAAAGGAGGGGGAGTAAAAATAATGGTAATTTGCATAAGTTTATAATAATAGTTAAAACAGTAAAACCCCTATCAAAGTATATAATTTATTATTTTAAATATATTTAAGACACAACTAAATGCTTTATTTTATTTATAGGTCACCATGATACCTATTTTTTTAAATATTCCTCAAAAATATTACAAATAAGGAGTACATTTCATAATTTATTTAAATTTATTCATTAAGTTCTTTAAATATGAATCGTTTTGTAGTGCAGCATGCCTCAAAAATGGGGCAACCCCAAAAAGCCTATCAAAAAGTATCCTGATTTATCGAATCAAAGCAACCAGGTCTGTTTTACGTCACTAGGAACTAGGAAAATGTTTACTTGTGCTTTCAATTTTCTGGAGTACGGGTGTGTTTGATATTTTTTGGCAGTTTTATGATGGAAAACAAAGATACACCTTCTGGTTGCGGTGCTGGTTCCAGTGAAGAGGTGAGTTTACATTATTATTTTCCACAATTTCCTTTGGCTTGTCAGTGTTAGCTTCTTTTCCTGGTTTTTTTCTATTCCCTGTTCTATTCCCTTTTCATTTTTGCATTTGAAAATGCCCATATATATTTACATATAAAGAAAACCAACCTATAAAGCCTTGGTGCCCCTCTATAAATCTCGTTTTTCTGCTTTTAATCGGTCCCATTAAAATTAAAAACCCCTAAAAAAAATACCATTTAATTATAAAAACAACCAGAAGAAACGAGCTGAAATTGAGGCCGTCAAAAAACATCCGCACGCTATAAAAAATAATTTCACAAATTAGTTGTCGCCCCAACAGAATGATCTCTCTCCCTCTTTATATAAAAAAATATTCCTCTTTTTGGGCGTAAACTTTCTAAGCTGTCAAGATTTGTATTTTAGCTTCTGTCATTTTTGACATAAAAAAGAAATTGTTGCAAGTGTGTGCACAAAGTAGATTTCCATATGGAAAGTAAATGGAATTTTTGCAGTACTTGCTTGAGGAATACTATATTCAGATCCGATATGTATGTACATATATGCTCGCCATCCAGGTGTATACAACCGACCTACACCTTGCCACACAGCATTGTCAACGGGCAATCAGTGAAAGTTAAATCGAACAATGCATCCACACCTTTTCACCTCCACCTCCTCCTTGGGCCCAGCTTCTTCTGGCTCCCTGGGAGCTGCTGTCACTCACACCTGTGTGTTACCTGTGTGCTGCAGGTGGTGTGTTGGTGCCATTGTTGTAACTTCACACTCTCGAGGGGAAAAAGTGAAAAGAATCTCGCCAAAGACAGCCGTTGAAATAAAAAAATAAATAACTTCAAAACTTACGCTCACGCACAAGAGAGCCCGGAAGAAAAATTATGTTAAAACAAAAAGAAAATGAAAGAAAAAAAATGTAAACAGGTGATTTAATTAAGGCGCGTGTGAAATCAGATAAAAAAAAAAGATCAATGGTAAAACTTGTCTAAGATTAGGGGGGCTTAGAATTGAATTTTTCTTTTGTATTTTCATTAAACATGTTTCTAACCACACATTTTATTTTAAGCCTTGAAATGTGCTTAATTTATAATTCAAATTTGTGTCTTTATTAAAAATTGTATTATCTATAGTAAGCCATGTGGGCAAGGCTGTAATTTAAATAACAAATAAAAACCTTAACAAGTTTTCAAACTTAAAAAATAATAAAAAAAATAAATCATAAAGAAGCTGAGCTACAAAGCAGAAGCAAAGATATGGCAGAAAATACAATAATAATGCCTACCAATGAATTTGTATTGTTTATATTTCAACGTTTAAGCTAAGAAATATGGAAATGCCAAAGAAAAAATAAACAATGGAGATCAGAAACAAGTTGTAGACTAAGAAAATCAATAGATAAACTAATCAATGAATTTTATTTATATTTTTATATTTATTTATAAAAATATTATATAGATAAATGAGTTAATATTTGAAAACAAACATTTATTTTTAGGTTATTTCATTAAATATGTATTAAATATTCCTAAACAAAATCAAAACTTAATTTAAAAAATATACAAAATCCCCCTGAATATTCATGGTTAGTTATCCACCGATTTCCAACGGCCAAAATAATTGTATAATTGCATTAAGTGGAATAGCTAAAGCTGCCTGGGGAGCCCATTCAGGTCATAAATCTCTGCCCTTTGAAAGTCAAGTCACTCGTTTATCAAAGTCTCTTAAGTGCTGCTGAGTGGATAATTCGATTTGAATTTGAATTTACCTTTGATTTTCCCTCAACTCAAACGAGAGAGAGCATTTTCCAGTAAATTGCATTTGCATCTGCACGACTTATGAGAGATCGGGCCAGAGTCAGTTGGCCGAATGATTTACCTGACATCTCTCCACCTATGAAAAATGCCATAATAATAATTATGTAAACACTGCCACAAAAATCGATGCAATCTACCAATATAGTATATATATATATATATAAAGTACACTGCAATTGGCAGCGAAGCGAAAAGATGAGTAGGAAAAACTTAAAACTTTAAAGCGTTGGAAAACTCGTTTCGTTCGGGCCAAAAGAAAAAGGCAGATAAAAATAAATAACGAAAACAAAACAAGAAATGGCATTTGTTAATGTTGGTAAAGAATAAGCAAGTACCCTAGAAAAAAATTTAGAAAAAAAAACATTTTAAAAACATACGGAAAGTCTAATGAGCTTAAAGAAATTTAAAAAAATTAAAAAAATTTTTTTAAATATTTAAAAATATTTTAAAATATTTACAAATATTAAAAAAATGTTTACAAATATTTTGTTATATATTCACAG